ATGGCGGCGTGATAAAAACGGACAAAAACTTTCGCAAGGAAAGAAATATGTAAATAGAATTTTATCGCACCTATTTTATATCGGCAAATTCAAATGCTTTTGCCTTTATTAATTATTAATAAAATTAATTTGTGTTTTTAAATAATAAAATCATTTGACATACCCGATGCTGCAACAGCAATTGTTCAAAATTTTATCCACTCACGTGTAAACACATTTGGGTCCGTCTTACTCACTTTCTACGAACTAACACAAATGATGTCTTGCTTCACCATAACACAAATACTTCACCATAATACAAATGTTGTCTTGCTTCACCATAAATTAAAACGATATCCATCAACTCTGAGTTGCTATACACGCAAGCCATTTTTGACACTAACTACTAAAAAACTGATGTAAATACCACAGATAACAGGTAAAAACTACCGCAACGACGGATTACAGTATTAGGAGTCACATGGCTCTCCACGAGTATTGCGAATGACGCTAGAAACTACAGTTGTCCAGCTATATAGTAGTTTAATGTGCTATAACTTCAATATTTTTTTTTCTCAGAAATTATAAGGATTTTACAAAATTTTTTTTTACCATTTCTCATGCCGCATCTTTCCCAAATTTTTTTGGATAAGTTGTGAATCACCCTGTATATGCTGTATTTTTAAGAAAAGCCATATTCGATTGTCTTTGTGGTATAAAAATACCAAAGACAATGTATCCGAATGAAACTTCGAATCAGTCGGTGCTTTGTATTAATTGATTTGGTAAAAATTATTCAGTTATTTGCCATTGTCATATGTCAATAACATATTATCACAGCAGAACAACTGGGAGCTGCTCGCTAGGGGTAATGGATTTGGTTTTGCGAACGTTTAATTTACAAACAGAGCAACAGGTGTAACATATCGCCATCGACACGTCTCCCTTCTATTCGCGATTCTATTCTCTACCACGCAGCCTAGTTCTACCGTTGTCCGACGGTGGTGCGAAAGGTTCGTTATATAATGAATTTATAATATTTATATTCTTCCATAAGAGCAGTGTGTTCTAATAGGCGAGCGGTTCACCCCTAAAAATGGCATGAACAGACTAAATTTTTCAAACAAAACCTACAGCACGAAACTTTTTTATTTTATAAAGTGTTATTTTTCTGATAATTTACATATTTGTTTTATATTTTTCGGCGTGGTCAGTCAATTGTTATGAATAAAAAAGTTGTACAAAAAAAATTACTCACCGAATGGCTTTTTTATTGTAAAATGGACCAAAATAAACACTTTTTGTTCTTTGACAAAAATTCGAAAATGCTTCGTTTCCGAGATATTTACAAATTAATGTGAAAATAGTGACGAAATCAACAAACTTTCGGAATTTTTTTCTCAAAAACTACTGAACAGATTGGGGTCAATGGGTCAATCATTTTATTGAAGGTCTAAAGCGAGTAAAAAAAGTCTTTTAAAGAAAATTATGATAACACTTTAAATTTAAATTTTCTTTTTACAATATCTTGGATTAGATTATATTCACAATAAACATTATTAAGATTTTTTTTAATCGATATATGTTAACAGTACAAATGTTCAAAAGAACATTTTGTTTGGTTTTGTAGTCGAAGTAAGGTTTTTGCAAGTAATTAGTGAAATTTAAATATTCGATTTTTGGTTTTATAAATGGCTAAAATTGACTTGAAAGTAATACCAAAATTAAACTTAATAAGCTTTTTAAATCGTAAAATTAACCTAAAAATAATAATTGACCTAGCGGTCTCGAAAAATAAAAAAGCTATTGAATAATTTATTGCATAGGATAATTATTTTATTTTTATTTTACAAAAATATTAAAAGCAATAAAAGCATATCAATGTATTCTTTATTTAATTTTTTAATTATAATAAGTTTTTCGTTATTTTCGACAAATTCTTTAGTTGAAATAAGTGTTTCATCATCAACTTCAGATGAAATATTCTGACATTCATCTGAGCACGCACAGACTGCACAGCATTTCAGGTCCGATGACTAACAGTTACAATTTTTCGTAGAACATTTTCCACTACATTAACAAAAATATGTTTATCGTGATTTTCTTTATAACAGACTGTTTTTTTACTCGCTTTAGACCTTCAATAAAATAATTGACCTATACCAAAAAAATACATTTTAAAGTAGAAGATCTGCCGATTATTATGCCTTTTTTAGAATTAAACTCTGTTCTCTCTGTAAATTATCAGAAAAATACACTTTACAAAATAAAAAAAGTTTTATGCTGTAGGTTTTTGTTTCAAAAATTTAGTCGGTTACCTTCATTTAGAAGCATATATAAGTGACTTTTTCAATATTTCACGTACCTTCCCGCATCTTGAAATTTTAGATGTAAGAATTTGTTATTTCTCACGCTCAATTTATGAAAAATCCGTTGACTTTTACCTAAAAGGTAAAAACTATAAAACACAGCCAACATCGCTGGAAGATTCGCGTCAAAGAATCGTCGACGAATGCCGTCGAATCACTCCGGAAATGCTTCGGAATGTGCGCGAACGTTTCGAATAAAATCTTTATTCTTGTATGGAAGCGGGCGCGGTCATCAGTTTGAACATTTAATCAACTAAGTAGTAAGTAAGCAACTAAAACATAATTTAAATTTTAAAATGTAAATTTTTTAATGTCTGTTGTAAAGAGAATTGTAAGAGCTTTCAAAGGAAATATTACTCAACCCCCAATTCCATTTAAATATTTTGGGATGATGCTTACCCTTGCTTGGGGGTGAAAGTGGCGGAGTCAAAAATACCAACAAAGAATGTCCCCCTTTCATTTAAAATCGACGGGTCTGAGCATTTTTCTACAATCTTGACGCAGTTTCTGAAAATGGATCTGTTTCGTTTTCATTTGGCCACCCTGTATATAGCGTTCTCCGAATTCCTCGAAATGGTCGTTCTGACCTTTGACTGCTCTGGTGATCTAGAGTACAATGTCTCCTAACAGAATTACCAAGATCTGCTAATCATCTATTTGAGTACCTACATTATATAGACAGTGATTTGCAAAATTGCCAGCGTGTAACCAACCACAGTCAACCGTGCCAGTTTATTTCGACAAGTAATGAGATAAGGTTCGTTTTTTTAAATTATTATGTCATGCACATTCTAGTTTGTTCTTCCTTGTCTCATATTATATTAAGTGTATTTTTTATAAGCTAGTTTTATATCACACAAAAAGGTGCATTGTTTTAAGGGTTGTTTTTTTACTGTTATTGTTTACAAAAATTGTATTTATAGTCGCTATAGAATAATAGAAATATAGTTTATTTTGTATATACATACATACATTTCATATTTTGAAGAACACATATTTCTAGTTTTTTTAATACATAAAAGTAATTATACAAAAATTGACATTGTTGGACCTACTTATCCCGATAAANTGTTACGTTAACTTTGGCGATGTAGTAACAATAAAGGTATGTCCGACCAATCTCAGTGGAGTCGGGGGTGGGTTATAAAGATAAAGATATAAAAACAACAATTTATATATAGTGATAAGGGCGCCAAGTGATTTTCATAACCATACCTTTAAACATAATAAAATCACTAAACTGTATAGCCACAGATTTTAACAGGAAAACAAATATATAGGTGTATCAAAATAAATTAATAAAAGTCTGAGTGTATTTATTATCGTCTTAATCAAGGTACTTAAACAGCCGTTATAAACGTAGAATATGCAAATATTATTGTTCACTAGACCTCAGTCAAATACAAAGTTTTCTATCTCCCTGCGAGAGCTCGCGTACCTACTCGCTATCTAAACCGACCGCTTTTTCCCTAACGCAAACAGTTTTCACTATAAATTCTTTTTATTTGTTGTCGTGCCTTAATTAACAACAATGATACTGTTTAATTATTAACCCCGAAATGATGTTATAGACCGGTAATTGGAAATTTAGATTATAAAAATGTAATAACCCGTAGTTAAATAATAAAAGAAACACGAATTAGAAACAGTAGGTATTATGTAATATCGTCATGAGATATTTTTCATTCAAAGAAAAATGTGAATAATTCTTATTTGACGCAGATCTGTACTACTTAAAGTCAGTATCGATTTATGTAGACAAAAAGTTTAGTTACCACATTTACGTGGAAAGTTTGAACTTTATGGGTAACATACGAGAATGGCGAGTGCTTTTGTGTTATTAGAGGTCGAAAGATCATAGTTGAAGTTGGTATTTAATTAAAACAAATAAACATGTCATAAATGACATCCTAAATAGCCCACCACTGTATTCAATTCAAATCCAATTATAAACATACCTCATCAGGGTCATTTCTAATAATCAGTTTATATTATTATGGACATTGAAATTATCAGTTACGTTTTTAAAAGTATGGTTTTTACTGCTTCATCAGAAGATAAACAAGTACTAATTATATAAATAATAACAATATTATATTATTATTATATTATATATCGTTTTGATATAAAGTAAAAAAATACGAGTGCTAATAATAAAATGTTTTTGCATGTTTGCAATCAAAAGTATGTGGATTTGGATTGGCTATAGGCTACTGATATTTCTTCTTCAAAATTAGTGCATTACTATTTTAGGAAAAGTAGAATGTCCTATGGTATTCTTTTTTTTTTTTGTAAAAATAAATCTCTAACATTTTTTGAAAAATTATACTCATACCATCAAACTAAGCAGGCTACACATTCGTGGCAATGGGAAACCAATATAATTTGCTGATTATTTGCCAAAATATCTACGAAATTGATTAAGATACAGGGTGTCCGAATATTCCGTATACAGGGAGCTACCACAGTTTCCTGGGATCAAAGTAATATTAAATATACAGGCTGTTACAAATTCGCTTATCATTGCAGGGATCTCAGAAAGGGAAAGAGATACGAAGTAACTTAAATGGAGGCAAAGTTGCGTAATCAGAAGACCAACATTATGCCTCTAAGAAATCAAGGCTAACATTATTAGTTTTCGAAATACCTATTTGAAAAAAAAACTGAAATTTTGGAAATCCGTTTTTGTTTCATTTCAGCCTAGTTTGAGGTTATATTGCAAAAAGAAGAAGACTTTTTTATGGCATCTTTTTGCCCTCTATCGAATGGCGTAATCAGATTTTACATGTAACGTTTCGTCTTTCCGGAACCATCATCAACTTCATTTTTTTAAATGGGATCCTGGAAATTTGATTAAATTTTATGCAAGCCTTCATGAATCCCAATACTGTACTCCCTCAGCCCGAACCAGATTCAGACGTTTTGTCTCGAAAAATTCATCTTCAGTGTATTCGTTCTAAATTTATCTAAATTTTTTATTTAAATTTCTTTGTTTATTGAGAATTATCGTACACTGTAAGTATCGTTAAACCCTGTGAAATCCATCTAATTATTTAAACTATTACCTACTATCAAACATTTATTATTATTAGCTATTACCATCACTTGGTCATACATCCAGAGTCGTATTTAAAAAAATGAAGTTGATGATGGTTCTGGAGAAACGAAACGTTACATATAAAAATTGACTATGCCATTCGATAGAGGGCAAAAAGTTGCCATGAGAAAGAAAGTATTCTTCGTTTTGCAATATAACCTCAAACAAGGCTGAAGTGAAACAAAAACGGATTTCAAAATTTTCGGTTTTTTTTCAAATTTTTCGAAAACTAATCATGTTAGCCTTGATTTTTTAGAGGCATGATGTTGGTCCCCGCATTACGCAACTTTGCCCCCATTTAAGCTACTTCGTACTTCTTACCGTTTCCAAGATCCCTGTAGTGAAAAACGAATTTGTAACAGCCTGTATATAGAACGCATTAAAATTGACAAATAAATACAGGGTGTTTGGTGCAACGTTTGCCAAATTGAATTGGCCGAAAGGAGGAGTGATTTGCAATCTCTTCAGCCCCGATAACTCACTCTTGGCTCCATGGGTTTTTTTATTTCAACTTTTTTACTGTTGCTTTGAAAAATCCCAAAATTTAGTATTTAAACTTAAATTAAAAAAAAAAAGTTATTGGTATATCCTCCAAATTTAATTATAATTTTTATGTTTACTGTTGTACGGTTCTATCAAATTGAAAATTACTACCAAATAACATCTAGTTGTCATTTTATTAACTTACAAAGTTTTTGGAAGAGGTAAGAACAAATTTCCCTAGTCTATCCCCTTTCCAACGAACGGTATGCAACATGCCATAAAAAACTTTTAAAAACTTCACTAATTCGCTTAATTTATGTACCGGGACACATCAGGCTAATATTCGATATTCGGAATGAACACTTGTCTTTGCGTCAATAACACGAGCGAAACATGTGAATTTGTTATCTCACTCTTGCACAGTAGAATTCATCATCTGTATGTTACTTACAGTGCAGTGGGTTCTAACGTTTCTTGGACTTAAAATTGAATTCTACCGTAGTGATGCGTAGACGTATTTCGTCTTTAATAGCGACGAAAGCCGCTCCAATGCATTGGACTAAATCTTCCCTAATTTCAACTTTCGTGGCGTATACAAACTCTTTGGCCCGTCCCCAGACTCAAAAATCTAACGGAGTTAGGTCTGGAGAACGTGGAGGTCAGTTTTACAAAAGATCTACTTATTCTGATCACAAGAAATTGTGGGTGCTCTACTTACACAGATTTTGGGATTCCCTGTATATATTGACAACCTTAAAACTTCTTTGTAGGTCGTTGCTATGACTCTCCTTACGGACAACCCCATCTACGACCTGTTTCTGGTCGTAACCGCCCTCTTGGTCGTAATTTTCGCCTACTTCCACCGCTCGTACCAGTACTGGAAGAACAGGAACTTCCCCTACCTCGAGCCTACATTTCCTCTGGGCAACAGCCCGCATCTCTTCACCAGTACCCTGGGCTTCGCACTGGATACTGTTAAGTACTACGATGAGATGAAGAAAAAAGGATACAAGTTCGGGGGAATCTACACCATAACCTCTCCAGCACTGGTCCTCGTCAACCCAGATTACGTTAGGGACGTTTTAACAAAGGTATGGGGCGTTCCTAATACACACGGTGTAACAGTTGTGGTCATCAGCTTTGCCCGTCCTTTTCTTGTAGGACTTCCACTACTTCATAGACCGCGGTCACTACTATAACGAAAGAGACGACCCCATATCGGCCCATTTGTTCGCCCTGAACGAGAAAACGTGGAAGAACATGAGGACCAAGCTTACCCCAACGTTCACCTCGGGTAAAATGAAGATGATGTTCCACACCGTCTTGGAGACCAGCAAGTATATGACGGACGCCATCGAAACGTCCGCCCTAGAACGGAAGGACATCGACATCAGAGAGGTAGGTGCAGATTTAAAGAAATGCAACTTGTCTGAATGAAATTTCCTGGTAGTTCAAATTTGCCGATTTATTTTAAAATTAATTTAGTACCTACCAACAAATACAACTGTGCTGTTATTGGTGACCGTAGGGGATGAATTAGAGTGAACAGTGTCCCGTATAAAGTATGATAGTTCTGGCAAACGCAAAAGTATGGATTCAAACTGGCTGGACTGATGTGCATTTACCATTTGTATAATTTAGGAAGAATCGATAGTGGGGCATCAGTTTAAATAATTCTACAGATTTTACTTCTCCTTCAAACATTGAAGTGATCACAAATATTCGAGACCTGTTGATCTTTGTTTTAGTCACGTGAATAACCTAAATTGTTTCTTTGAGCTCTATAAGTCACTTACTTTTAAATTCAAAAGTTCTTCATTATGTAAAGCCCCAGCAATGCCAAACACGACACAAATCTAAAATAGTTACATTTTTTTAAAATTAGCATAAATTACCTTCGTCATCCAGTGGATTTTATCCAGTGCATTTAGTAAAAATTAGAGTATTTCTTCTTGTGAAAGAGTTCTGGACTCTTTTGGAATATGATTTGTTCCTTTTTGTTTAAAAAAAATTGTACATTTTTTACATTTACTAATGTCAACGTCATTTTTTGCTGAAAGGGTTGCTTTCACCATGAAATAATATGACCACCTTGAAGAAGGAGAATACTCTTTTGGTAACTCGGAAAAAATATGACAGCAAAAATGTTCACACTATTTTTTAATTTCGTGTTTCTTGCGCCATTCTATGAATATGTCATACTGGAGATTTTATTTTTCGACTAATCTGTAGGGTTTCGTAACACGTTTCTAACAACTTTTCTCGATTTTCGGGCGGTGTGCACTGAATGTCTTCTTCCATCGTTTTCTATAAATAATTTGCGACAAAACTTTAACTGTTGGGGCTGTGAGTATACTATAGTAGATGTACTGGTTGTGATAGCGACAGACGATTTCTGATTAATATAAAAATTAAGTGTTTGTTTACTTCCGGAAATCGTTATAGTAATGCAAGGCTCTATTGACGGTTGACGATAAAATATAATATTCGCGTCTTTGGTTTTTGCAGTTTCTATCTTGTTTCACAACAGACGTGATCGGATCATGCGCTTTCGGCATCGAGTGCAACAGCTTCAAAGGCACCGAAGCCGAATTCCGGCACATGGGCCGGGAAATTTTTGAAGTACGTGGATTACGTATACTCAACCTCATCCTGATCAGCAAGATGCCTAGATTGGCCCTCAAACTAGGTGAGTTAATTTACCTGTGATCGAATAAATGATTTTAATAAACATAAATGGCTTATATATAAATGGCTTATACAGGAAAATGTTTAACAGTTAGACATTGATATACAGGGTGTTTCTAATAACGTGCTAATATTTAAGGAGGCTATTTTTGGGTCCATTTTAAGGGAAAAATTTCATATGAACATATGTCCTAAAAGTCTTAACTTTTGAACTACGGGGTGCTAAAGTTTTATGGAAAAACATGTTTTTATGATAACTTACCCTATTACCCTAGATATTTTTTCAAATTTGGTACACGTCTTCTATTCATCGAGATGCATTTTCTGATGTACAAACAATTTTATTATTTTTGCCAGTGGCGTCTGTACAGGTTTTGTATTGAATATTTTTGAAGATAAATATGTTACGCCACTGCTTTTTCTTAAAGTAAAAATCATTTTTGAAATCCTCANTTATAATACAAATATCTTAAAGCCTTATTTTGCACTCTTTCAATCAAGTTAATATAAACATTATAATGTGGTGACCAAATCACTGAACAATATTCTAAATGTGGCCTAACATACGATATATACAGTTGCCTTAAAGCACTTATATTAGTAAATACTTTAGTATTGCGTATAACAAAACCATACATTTTCATGGCTGTATTTGTCATAGAATATATATGATCCTTAAACGTAAGCTGCGAATCAAAGACAATGCCGAGATCCCTCATTGTTTCCACCCTAGCCAGTGCTATATTATTAATCTCATATTCATAAACAATAGGACGTTTTTTCTTAGCATATGTCATAACGAAACATTTTTTGATATTAAAATATAATTTATTCAGACGAGTCCAACGATAGATTTTATTTATTTCACTTTGCAGTGCAGCGCAATTACAATGATTATTAACTTTCATATAAATTTTTAAGTCATCAGCAAAAAATAAATGTTCTGAAGATATGATTTCACTTAACCCATTAACAAACATAAGAAATAATAATGGTCCAAGGTTGGATCCTTGAGGAACCCCAGATAATGCATTAAAATGGCTAGAATTGTAACCATTTATAAAAACATATTGTTTTCTATTTTCAAGATAGGAAGACATTAACCGTATTAAATTGTCGTGAAACCCAAATTCATTCTTGAGTTTAGAAAGGATGAGACTATGTGATACTGAATCGAACGCTTTCTGAAAGTCAGTATAAATTACGTCTACTTGACTTCCCTCGTTTATAGCTTCATTTATATATTGACTTATATTAATTAAATTACTAGCAGTGGATCTTTTCCACATAAAACCATGTTGATTTATAGATATTCTATGACAGACAGAAGTATAAACTACTTTATAAATAATTGATTCATAAATGTTTGCGGGTACTGACAAAATAGCAATAGGACTATAGTTTTTTATATCACTTTTGTCTCCCTTTTTATGTACCGGGCAAATACGCACTTCTTTCCATATTTCTGGAAATACACTAGTTTCTAAACTTAAGTTATATAAATAATGAAGAGGATAAATAAACGAATCAATACACCCTTTAACTATGTAGGAAGGTAGTTTATCAGTCCCAACTGACTTGTTTATTTTTGAACTTTTTATAGCCTCTCGTATATCATCACCTGTAATAACGCCCAAATTTACTTGTTCTACATACTGATTTGCATTTATATGTGAGTTATCTTGTCCTGCATCAGCATTATACACACTACTGAAATGTTTAGCAAACGCATCCGCTCGTAAATTCAGAATCATCTAAATACATAACTTTAGGAAATAAAATAGAATCTCTTTTGTTGTTCATGAATGGCCAAAATGATTTTGAGTCGCTTGCAGTATCTTTTTGGATGTCATCTATATAAATTCTGTATGCAATATCAATATCATTCTTAAGTCTTGCCCTCAGATTATTATATTCATCCTTCAAATGAATTAAATTGTTATTAAGTATTTTTTTGCGAACGCTGTCCTTTTTAAATCCGAAATTATTTTCTTATTAAACCAAACTGGGTACTTTTTACATTTTTTAGTTTTTGGTATACAAATTTCAAAAACATTATATATAATAGTATAGAAATAGTTGACTGCCTCATTGACATTTGAAAAATTGTCTATCTCGCTCCAATCAACAGTCATAAATGATTCATACAATAAATTAAAATTAGCTTTTTTGTAATTAGGTATAAGATGGTACGAATGCAGAGGAGACTTGTTTTAATTTGTTCGTATTGATGTCGACTTTAACTACGATCTACAATGCATGACAAATTCGAGATTACAACATCTAAAATACGGGATAAATAATTAGTTATCTTATTATGCTGAACGCAGTCAAAAAAATTTAAAAAATTCATAAACTCAATAACATAAGGATCATATACATAATTCATTGTGTGCATAATAGCGGTTTAAATTTGAAATCACCTAAAATTAAGAAATTATTTTCATATAAAAACGGTACAACTTCCAAAAAATTTAAAAAATTACTTACAGATGCAAAAGGGCATGACGGATCCAAGTTTACCAAAATGACGTACAAATAATTACAACTACTTAAACTTACTCTTACACAAACGTAATCAATAAATTTATCACTAAAGTCTAGAACAATTTCCCTCGAAATTATATACATTCTTTATAGCTAAAACTACTACCCCTCCACCTCTTGACTTTCCACTAAGAGTAGTGCATCTATCTTTTCTAAATACTAAAAAGTCACTAGGAAATAATTCATTCTCATATAATCCTTCTCTTAACCAGCTTTCAGTTATAGCAAACATGTCATATTCTTCTAAAGTAGCACTCACATTGATTAAAAGTTTATCTAAGTTTAGTTATCTAGTTTATCTGTATTGAATATTTTTGAAGAAAAATATGTTACGCCACTGCTTTTTCTTAAAGTAAAAATCATTTTTGAAATCCTCATTCCTTTCTGAGTCTCGAATTTTTTTCGTGTGACGTACGGTTTTCGCATAAAAAAATATAATTCATTCATTTGCATCTTATTGGATCACTTACTAATAAAAAAAAATATTTATGAAACTTTGAACAATAATTTATTTAAGATAATAACTTTTAAACGTTGAAATTAAGAAATTACAGTAATTTACATACATTTTGGAATGGTAAAAGAAAATACCCTGGCGTAACATATTTTTCTTCAAAAATATTCAATACAAAAACTGTACAGACGCCACTGGCAAAAATAATAAAATTGTTTGTACATCAGAAAATGCATCTCGATGAATAGAAGGCGTGTACCAAATTTGAAAAAATATCTAGGGTAATAGGGTGTTATCATAAAAAAAATGTTTTTTCATAAAACTTTAGCACCCTGTAGTTCAAAAGTTAAGACTTTTAGGACATATGTTCATATGAAGTTTTTTTCTTAAAATGGACCCAAGAATAACTTCCTTAAATATTAGCACGTTATTAAGAAACACCCTGTATACTCCATCTAAGGTTTTTTGTGGCTAAATGAAGATAGTGTAACAAAACCAGAAGAAAACCGACACTAGCCATTGACCTAGTAAACTATATNAAAGATATATGATCAAATTAAATAAATATTTCTTCATAAGAAACAATTGCTTTTAAAGAAATTTGTAGTTTATTATTAAAGATACGTTTTTATGTGTGTATTTTTGAAGAAAAATATGATACGCCACTGCTTTTTCTTAAAGTAAAAATCATAAAAGTAAAAGTCCTCATTCCTTTCTGAACAAATGTGGTGTCTTGAATTTTTTTCGTTTGACGTACGGTTTTTGCATACAAAAATAAAATTCATTCATTTGCATCTTATTGGACCACTTACTAATAAAAAAAATATATTTATGAAACTTTGAACAATAATTTATTTAAGATAATCACTTTTAAACGTTGAAATTAAGAAATTACAGTAATCTACATACATTTTGGAATGGTAAAAGAAAATAAGTTATCATAAAAACATGTTTTCCCATAAAACTTTAGCACCCTGTAGTTCAAAAGTTAAGACTTTTAGGACATATGTTGATATGAAGTTTTTTTCTTAAAATGGACCCAAGAATAACTTCCTTAAATATTAGCACGTTATTAAGAAACACCCTGTATACTCCATCTAAGGCTTTTTTTTGTGGCTAAATGAAAATAGTGTGACAAAACCGACACTAGCCATTGACCTAGTAAACTATATAAGATCTATGCTGATATGATCTATGTTTTACTCTCTTTTTCAGGATTAAAAGCGACCAACGACCACGTATCAAAATTCTTCTACGAAGCTGTACAGAAAACTGTCAAGTATCGCGAGGACAACAACTTCACCAGGCCCGATTTCCTTCAGTTGCTGATCGACATCAAAAACCAGACTAAAGGCACAGACAATCCATTCACTATGGACCAGTTGGTTAGTACCAATTTTTATACGACTTATTTACTTTAAAATAGGGATTTTCTAACGGTTTTTTCCCATGAAAGTGGCATCTTTTCACTCCGGACATGAAAATTTTTGCCTCTAAAGACGAAAATGAAAATGTATTTAATTAAAAACAATAAACTATTATCCCACTGTTGATTGGGAGACTCCAAGTACTTGTGAAACGATTTGACTTGAATTGTAATATAGAAATTTTCTTCCACTATATTTAATAGTTATTTACACCATATGTAAGTATTATTTACCAGCCGAGGACGATTTTGCGCCCGAGCGGAACGAGGGCTGGCAATAGAGTCCGAGACTGGTAAATTATACTTAACTGCTGCGTGGTGAATAACATTTTATCTGCTCCCACAGTTCTTTACGGTTCATGAAATAAAGATCAGGTTTTATTTTATGACATTTCTTAATCAATTCATTTTGACACTATTCGAAATCTTGCAAAGTCGCCTTGGTTGTTTAGATTTTGTCGTACGTAAAAGTTGCAATTTTGTTGGCTTTGAATTATTATTTCTAAACGATTGATTTTCAAATAGAAATAGAAGCGTGAAAAATATGCATTTATCAAATCGAGTTGGCTAAAATTATTTTGAAGAATACGCGAAAAAAATTTATTATACATTTTAATAAACACGCCATGTGGTTGAAAATATAACAACTTCAAAATATGTTTCCTTATTTTTTAATTTAACATTTTTGGTGATAGCGATTCTACTTTTAATGGATACATCGCCAAAGTTTTTTTTTAACAAATTCTAAATCAAACCTCTGCATAAATCACAATACATAAAAATAGTATTTTCTGTTCGATATGAAATACTTTTTCGTGCATTCTCTAAGAAAATAGCAACTCTAAAGCGAAAAACACAAGACAATTAAATTTGGGAATTATTCCTACGTCCCTTTGTCTTAGGTATCTCAGGTATTCCTGTTCTTCGTCGCAGGATTCGACACCTCCTCGTCCACCATGAACTTCGCCCTGTACGAGCTGTGCAAGCACCAGGACGTGCAGGACAGGGTCAGGGAGGAGGTCAACGAGGTGTTGGAGAGGCACGGCGGCCAATTCACCTACGAGAGCATCGGGGAACTGAAGTACCTGCAGCAGGTCATCGACGGTAAGGATAACATTTCATACTTGAACTATTAAGTCCAATTTTTTCAAGAATTTCTGCTCAAAAAATATGTATGTAACAATATTCTCTTTCTAAAAACGAAATGTTTTAACCGTATAGCAAAGATTATAGATTATATACATATTATACAGCGCTCGTACGATTATAGTGCAATTTTTTTTCAATGCAGAGGCCCAGAGGCTGTTCCCGCCACTGGTGGTCCTGACGAGAGTCTGCGTGAAGGACTACAAACTCAGAGACACGGACTTGGTACTGGAAAAGGGCACCCGCGTGGTGATACCTCTCTACAGCATCCACAGGGACCCGGAATATTATCCGGAACCGGACAAGTTCGATCCGGAGCGGTTCAACAACGAGAACAAGAAATCCAGACACCCGTTCGTCCACTTGCCCTTCGGCGAAGGGCCTAGGAATTGTATAGGTCAGTACAGATAGTTGGACAAAAAAAAATCATGTACAGGTTGTCCGGTAAGTATCGGTCAAACTCTCGGAAGCTTACAGGGTAGGTCAGAATAAAAAATTACATACTAGATCATTGGTTATTTTTAGTCATTTTTCAAAAGTTGTAACTTCGTGAATAAAAAAGAAGCATCTTGAAACTTGAAGATTCTATTTTTGAAATCTTCACGACACTTACAACGATCCATCAGCTTCCGACTTCTTTGGATTCAGGAGAGACCCATCCCTGAGATCACGAACACACATAAACATTCCCCGGTGTTTCGCGAGTAACTTTAACGCCAAGTCAAGGAAGCTATCAATGACCACCTGATCAAAGTCACAAGTCGAAAAGTGAGATTATAAAAACAGAACGTGCGTGTTTTTATAACAAGAGATTTGTAAAATTTACAGAAACCCATATTATTTACTTACCTCAGTATTTGTATATAACTTATATTTCGGTGTGTTATATTATTACGCCACAGATAAATCTAAACATGTCTATTGAACAATTAGCACAGTTCTCTACACACCGGCTAGTCACATGATTAAACTGATTTGGCAAAAAAGAATTTCTGTCCAAAAGCATTAAAACAAGGATAACTTTAAGGTTGTATAGCTCCGTTAATATTGAGTTCCCGAAAAAGTACCGTGGCAACTTGTACCCCTATTTTTACCAGTTGAACGCGATGATTTTGTTTTTTAGGTCTCCGATTCGGATTAATGCAGTCTAAGATCGGCCTCGCGACCATCCTCAGCAAGTTCAGGCTGAGGATCAGCCCCAAAACGGACATGCCGCTGCGACTGCACGAGGGAGTTCTCCTGTTGAAGTCAGTAAACAAGCTGTACGTCACAGCCGAGAAGATATAATCAATAGAAATTATTCTTTAGTCGTTAATGATTTTCCAAACCGTTTTTTATTCACGGACATTGATCAGCCCTGGAACAAAATGGTGGCAATAAAAAAGCTGATCGAACGTCTACAACGTCACCAATAAAGCGCACCTCATTTAAGAAAACTTTCACCAATCTATATTGTCTTTCGTTAATTGTTAAAACTCGGTTCACGTTTAATTAGTTTTTACTTACGTATTTTAGTTTATCGTAAAAAAATTTTTACTGTGAACCTTAAATGTGAATAAATAGCAATGTGAAAATACCCATAAAAAAATTATATTTCAAAACTATACAAATATCTAACGCTAATAGGTATACTGCTAGACCAAGCAAACTAAATTTTTACTCGAAAAAAGTCCTATTCCGCTAGATTATTGTAAAATTGTCTAAAGGAACATAATACAAAACATCTCTCGTCTCGTGAGTCAAAAACTTTTATTAGCCAACTTTTCTATTTAAACAAATAAGTGAGGAAAACGGTTTTACGACAGCTTATAGGGCGTAAAATTATCTACAAAATGAGACTGGTTAAATTAAAATCGGTTAATAAACAAAAAAGTTATTGCAAAAA